ATGGGAGGACTTACACTTCCCATTTTCAACAATGACTGCAAAGGTATAATTATCAAAAGACTGTGTTACTGGTCAAATAAATGGCATCATGAGAGGTCACACCTTGGTCTCTCCTTGAAGTTTCCACAATTTAAACATCTATAATTCAACAAAGAAATCCCTGCTCAATGCACAAATACATCTAAGAGATTGAAAAATGAAGGTGGGCAAATAGCAAACCAGGGAGGTGGGAAGGGAGAAGAGTTGAGATGGCCCAGAGACTCAGCCTGGATCTCACACCCCAGGGCTCACTAAGGGGCTCAGCCTGGAGACAAGAGGCATCAGATTGCTGCTGGCACTCTCTTCAACCAGGCAGAGCAGATACAGTGAGCATTCCCGCAGCGGGGTCAGTATGAGCTGTGACTGAACCTGGTCAGGGAATGAGAGGTGTGAACACGGTTGTCAGGCAATCAGCACTCCAGAAAAACAAAGCTGTGGAGCCTGGCCACCTCCTGTCAGCCTTCCAGAGCCAGCTGCAGGCCCAGAGGACAGAGGAGGCTGTGGCAGTGTAGGCCAATGCTGTAGCCCCTGGGCAACACCAGCCAGGGCTGGTTGCAAGGTATTTATTTATTTGTTTGTTTGTTTGTTTATTTATTTATTATTTATTTATTTATTTTTTATTTTATTTATTTATTTATTTATTATTTATTTATTTATTGACTTCAGAGAGGAAGGGAGAGGGAGAGATAGAAATATCAATGATGAGAGAGAATCATTGATTGGCTGCCTCCTGCATGCCCCCTACTGGGGATTGAACCCACAACCTGGGCATGTGCCCTTAACCAGAATTGAACCCGGGACCCTTCAGTCTGCAGGTCGACACTCTATCCACCGAGCCAAACCAGCTAGGGCTGGTTGCATTTCTATACACCAATATTGAACTACCAGAAAGAGAACCTAATGATAAACAACACCATTTATAATTGCATCAGAAAAATAAAATACCTAGGAATAATTCTAACCAAGAAGGAAAAAGTCCTATATTTGGAAAGTTATAAAACATTAAAAAAAGAAATTGAAGAAGATATAAAAATGGAGCCATATAAGATGCTTATTGATAGGAAATATTAACATTGTTTAAATGTTCATACTACCCAAAGCAATCTACAGATTCAACACAATTCCTATCAAAATACCAATGGTATATTTCTCAAAACTAGAAAAAGTATTTCAAAAATTTATATGGAACTGCTAAAGACCCTGAATAGCCACAGCAATCTTGAAAAAGAAGAACAAAGTTGGAGGGGTCACACTATCAGATATCAAACTATACTACCAAGATATAGTAGTACTACTATATCTTGGTAGTATACAGCATGTACTGGAATAAAAACATACATATACACTAATGGAACACACTAGAGAGCCAAGAAATAAGCCCACACCTTTATGGTCAATTAATATTAGACAAAGGAGGCAAGAATATACAATGGAGTAAAGACAGTCTATTCAATAAATGGTGCTGAGAAAATTGTATGGATAATTGACCAAAAAATAAAACTAGACTACATTCGTACACCATACATAAAAATAAACTCAAAATGAATTAAAGACTTAATGTAAGACTTGAAACCATAAAAATTTTAGAAGAAAACATAAGCAATAAAATCTCAGGCATTTCTTATGCCAATATTTTTTCTGATATATTTCTTCCGGCAATAGAAACAAACGAAAAGTAAACAAATTGGACTACATCAAACTAAAAAGTGTGTGTTGTTGTTGTTTGGTGTATAGGACAATGCTTCAAGGGCCTGGAGAGCATTATGCCAAGTGAAATAAGCCAGTCAGAGAAAGACAAGTATCACATGATTTCACTCGTATGTGGAATCTAACAAACAAGCAAAATAGAGACAGACTCATAGATGGAGTGCAGGCAGACAGCCCTGGTGGAGGGCAGGGCACTAGGGGAGAGAGGGAGAGGGTTTGAGAAAAAAAGAGAGAACTCAGGGACATGGACAACAGTGTGATAATTGGGGGTGGGGTGGGGTAGAAGAGGGCATAGAGAGGATAAATGGTGATGGAAAAAATAAAATAAAATTTAAAAGGTTTTGCACAGCAAAGGAAATCATCAACAAAACAAAAAGACAACTTACTGAATAGGAGAACATAGTCATGAATGATACAGTTAGTAAGGAGTTAATACCCAAAATTTTAAAAGAACTTATACAACTCAATGCCAAAAACACACACAATCTGATTAAAAATGGCAAAGAACCTGAACAGACACTTCTCCAAAAAGGAGATGCAGATGGCCAATAGGCATATGACAAGATGCTTGACATCACTAATCATCAGAGGGATGCAAATTAAAACCACAATGAGATAACCGCTCACACCTGTCAGAATGGCTATCATCAGTAAATCAACAAACAAGGCTGGCGAGGATGTGAAGAAAGGGAACCCTAGTGCACTGCTGGTGGGAATGCAGACTGGTGCAGCCACTGTGGAAAACAGTATGAAGTTTCCTCAAAAAATTAAAAATGGAACTGCCTTATTATGTAGCAATTACACTTCTGGCTATATACCCAAAGAAACCCAAAAAACTAATTTGAAAATATATGTGCACCTCTATTTTCATTGCAGTGTTATGTACAATAGCCAAGATATCAAACAACCCCAAGTGTTCATCAATAGATGAGTGGATAAAGTGGTGGCACATATACATAATGGGATATTACTCAACCATTAAAAATAATGACATTTTACCAATTTCAACAGCATGATGGATCTGGAGAGATTATGCTAAGTGAAATATGCCAGATTAAGAAAGACAAATGCCATACAATTTCACTTACATTTGAATCTAAAAAAAAAACAAAACAAAAACAAAAAACAAAATAGAAACAGACTCATAAAGAAAACAAACTGATGGTTGCCAGAGAGGAGAGGAGGTGGGGGACTGGGTAACAAAGATGAAGGGTTAAGAAGTACAAATTGATTAAGCAATAAAACAATAAAAAATAAAAAAAATAATAAAAAAGTACAAATTGGTAGTTACAAAATAGTCATGGGGTGTAAAGGGGATATAGTCAATAATATGGTCAGACCGATGTATGGTGACAGGTGGTTACTAGAAATATCAAGGGGAACACTGTGTAAAGTATATGATTGTCTAGCCATTATGCTATACACCTGAAAGTAATGTAAAATAATGTTGAATATCAACTGTAATAATAAAATTTTAAAAATAAACTTTAAGACCTAACCGGTTTGGCTCAGTGGATAGAGCGTCGGTCTGCAGACTGAAGGGTCCCAGGTTCGATTCCGGTCAAGGGCATGTACCTTGGTTGTGGGCACATCCCCAGTAGGGGGTGTGCAAGAGGCAGCTGATTGATGTTTCTCTCTCATTGATGTTTCTAACTCTCTATCCCTCTCCTTTCCTCTCTGTAAAAAATCAATAAAATATATATTTTAAAAAAATAAAAAAATAAACTTTAAAATTACCATAAGGTTACATTCATATTTCTAGGGCAGCACAAATGCAAGTTTGACAGCACTAAACTCTGGCAAGTATGTGGAGCAATAGGAATGTTTGTCTCCTTCCAGTGGGACTATCCATGCGAGGCACCGCCTTCCTCGGGTGAGTTAGGACATTCACAAACACTGTGACCAGCAACCCCATTCTTAACTATGTACCACAGTGAAGTGCTCACTCATATGTGACAGCAGACACACAAAATGTTCAGAATATCTAGGTTGTCCAAATAGAAACATTAGTATTTGTTCTCCCCTTATTTTACTCTTTGGTATAATAGACTCTGCCTCACTTTGACATATTACTTCTTTACCAACTGGGTTGGGGTGTTCCTTTTTTTGGCAGGGGGGCTGCTTGTAGGTTTTATGTATAATCCTGTGCCTTGTGAGGACCAGTCAATTAATAATACTCATGATAATGTACTGAAAAAAATTAGAATGAAATAGAGCTATTTGGTCATGTCTACTATTGACATGTGAGCCCTCAAAAGAGCAAGGAAATAGCCTGGCCGGCGTGGCTCAGTGGCTGAACATTGACCTATGAACCAGGAGGTCACAGTTCGATTCCCAGTCAGGGCACATGCCTGGGTTGTGGGCTCGATCCTCAGTAGGGAGCATGCAGGAGGCAGCTGATCCATGATTCTCATCATTGATGTTTCTATTTCTCTCTCCCTCTCCCTTCCTCTCTGATTTCAATAAAAACATTTTTTAGAATGCAAGGAAACAACTTTTATTTGCCTTTGTATAGTAGATAACATGCCAGCATAAAGGAAGGGATGAATGAATGAATGAACACTTGCTCGTTTGACTTGCCTTCCATTCCAGCCTCCCAATCCTTCAATGGTGTTTGAAAACCACCTCTACAGCAGGCATTCTTAGGTTTACCACAGCTTCAACCTGGAGTTGGAGCATTTTAACCCTTTTTCATGTGTGCATTGCGCTCCACTGATTTGCATCTCTCTCTGCATGTCTGTCAAATCATTTTTGAGTGTGTGATTGATATTCAGTGTCAGATCCATGGGGGCAGGCACTGCATTTCAAATACATGGCATACAATAAGAATCTATTAGTAAGTGCAAGGACCCTTCCTTTCAGTGAAGCAATTTTGTTGTTTTCTTCCTCCACAGACCACAGTTTCTTCACCAGATACGGGCAGACGTGAGTCTCTGTGGCAGAGTACGCCGAAGCCAGCTCAGTCTCAGCCCTTCCTGGAAGATGGATAAACAGACGCCGTGCAGAGTTAGCAGCTAAATGTTAGAGAAACACACAGATGTGGTCTTACCTTGATGTTTATCCTTTAGCATACAAACTACATTAACTTTAATGCTCTCTTCATTCCTTTTCAAATCATTTCAAGTTCATATACTTGTTTTTTTTCAGTAAACAGAGGCAATCGATGGGGTTACAACTAAAGTTCAGAAGGAGCTTCCAAATATGATCCTCATTTAATCACTGAGAAGCTTTCCCTGGAGGAGGTTTAGACTCACCTTTACTGAAAAATGTGCTGACCATAAAGCTGAAGAATATTGTGGCAATGGCAAAACACAGCAAAAAGACAAAAACAAGAGACGGGTCACTGTACTGGATGATCGGCAAAGGTTTCATCTAGCAAAACAACCAGGAAGCCAGATTAGTCACACGCTCAGTGGTCACAGCAAAACAAAAATGGAGAGACGAAATATCTGTAAGTATCTTAATAGTCCTGGTGAAACTGATGGCAACGCTCAGGGAGATGGAGAGTAAACAGTCACTGTCTACAGAAGCTCCACACATGGAGGTTTAAAGGCTACTCTGTCAGGGATGAGGCAGGCACACGCTCACTCCCTGCCAACCCGAATGCTAGGGGCCCGTCCGCACCAGGTCTCTGTTTCCCTCTTAAAGTTGAGCTTCAGCAAACAGACACTTGCCTTGACAAAGAAAAGTAGGCACGTCAAAAAGATGATAACCAAATACAACGTGAGAAACGTGAAGAAGTAGGCAGCCCAGAGCATCCAATTGCTGAGTCCGATCATGAGCTGGTACTCCTGTGGAAGAGTTAACACAAACCAAATGTTTTTGTCCAGGTACAAAATGCATTCACAACATGATCCAATTGACTTTTCACTACAACCAAAATGGGTTATGTCACATCATGCCCAGTCATGCAGATGGAACTCAAAGCTCAGAATGTCAAGTGACTTGATTAGAGTTATTCAGCCGGTGAAGGGCAATGCTGTGATGCTTATAAGCTCTGACATGATTTCTTCAGAATCAGATATTATTAAGACATAAAAACACTTAAATGAAACTATACACCACTTAGGTTCATATTTCCTTCCTATTAATTACATCCTCTTCCAGGAGGTATTAAAGGAATATACACCACCACGAGTGAAGGCTCATTTAAACTCAGGCTATAAATTATTTTGATGTGTCAATGCAGGTTCATCAATTATAACAAATAGACCACCCTGGTGGGAGATGTGGATAATATGCATGTGTGGGGGCAATATGAGGAATCTGCAAAACTCAATTTTGATGGACTTTGAAGACATTGTGCTAAGTGAAATAAGTCAGACAAAGAAAGATAAATCCGGAAGATGGCGGCTGGCAGGACGGAGGTGAGGGAGAGGATGTGAGTGAGTAAGAGGGTGAAGGGAGAGTGTGTGCATGCGTGTGGTGTGTGTGTGAGTGAGTGAGGGACAGTTAGATCCAACATGAATTCCAGGGGCCGGTGGACAGGGAGAGACTCCCCTGGACAGGGAGAGACTGCTTCACTGCGGGCACTCCCAGGACTGCGGGACTCGGGCACGGAGCCCACGCCATCTTGACGGGAGACTGCCGTCCGGAACTCATGACACCATCATCCAGACAGGCCTTTGTCGCTGACCCAGCAGTCCACGCCAGCCAACGGTCCAGCTGCCCCTACCCGCACACTCCCAGACCCTGGGATCTCCACCTCCGGGAAGCATCACATCCACAGTGGTGAGTGTGGCCTCCCCCTCCCCAGCAGCAGACCTCCAGGCGCGCGCGGAGCCCATCACCCCACAGGCAGCCCCTGGAGGCCAATGCAGGCTCCTGCTGAGTGCGATACTGTGCAGACGGGGTGCACTGCCCCACAGGAAAGATTCTGAATTCACTCTCCTGAATAACTGCCAATAGACACTGTCGCACAATTTCAACTCCAGAGCTCTTTAGGGTGCATCAGAGCTCTGCACTCACTGCCAGAGCAGTGGTTTCCAGAAGACAAGCATTTGGAGACCACCACCCCACAGGCAGCCCCTGGGAGCCGCTGCGAGCCCCCCACTCAGTGCGATATTGCACAGACAGTGGCGCACTGCCCCACAGGAGATACTCTGAATTCACTCTCCTGAATAACTGCCAATAGACGCTGTCGCACAACTTCAGCCCCAGGGCCCCTCAGCGTAACTCGGAGATCCATCCCGCAAATGCACCACAGGGACCCCTGTGAGCTGCCACTGGGAGCGTGTGTATCCATCCACA